AAAATCCCCTCTAACACCCCAAAATCCCCTCTAACCCCCCACAAAAAACCACAGAAAAATCCTAAAAATCCCCTCTAACCCCCCAAAATCCCCTCTGACCCCCCCAAATCCCCTCTAACCCCAAAAAGACCCCAAAAGTCCGCTCTAACCCTCAAAGATCCCCCCAAAATCCCCTAAGACTCCCCAAAAAACCCCAAATACCCCAAAAATCTCCTCTCACCTCCCAAAGACCCCCCAAAATACCTTTTAGCCCCCCCAAAGACCTCCCCCAAAAATCCCCTTTAATCCCCCAAAGACCCAGAAAAAGTCCCCTCTAGCCCCCCAAGTCCCCCCAAAAATCCCGTCTAGCCCCCCAAAGACCCTCCAAAAATCTCCTCTAACACCCAAAGACCCGCAGAAAAACCCCAAAAATCCCTTCTAACCCCCAAAGACCCCCAAAAATCCCCTCTAACTCCCCAAAAATCTCCTCCAACCCCCAAAGAATGCCAGAAAAAACCCAAAAAAATCCCCTTTAATCACCCAAAGACCCCCCCAAAAATCCCGTCTAGCCCTCCAAAGACCCCCAAAAAACCCCAAATCCCCCCAAAGACCCTCCAAAAAATCCCTTCTAACCCCCAAAGACTCCCCCAAAATCCCCTCTAACTCCCCAAAAATCTCCTCTAACACCCAAAGACCCACAGAAAAACCCCAAAAATCCCCTTGAATCCCCCAAACACCCCCAAAAATCCCATCAAGACCCCCAAAAAACCCCAAAACCCCCAAAGACCCTCCAAAAAATCCCTTCTAACCCCCAAAATCCCCTCTAACTCCCCAAAAATCTCTAACCCCCAAAGAATGCCAGAAAAAAATCCAAAAAATCCCCTTTAATCCCCCAAAGACCCCCCCAAAAATCCCGTCTAGCCCCCCAAAAAACCCCCCAAAGACCCTCCAAAAAATCCCTTCTAACCCCCAAAATCCCCTCTAACTCCCCAAAAATCTCCTCTAACCCCCAAAGACCCGCAGAAAAACCCCAAAAATCCCGTCTAACCCCCCAAAGACCTCCAAAAAACCCCAAACCCCCCCAAAGACCCTTCAAAAAATCCCTTCTAACCCCCAGACTCCCCCAAAATCCCCTCTAACTCCCCAAAAATCTCCTCTAACCCCCAAAGACCCGCAGAAAAACCCCAAAAATCCCGTCTAGCCCCCCAAAAAACCCCAAAAATCCCCTCTAAATCCCCAAAAATCTACTCTAACCCCCAAAGACCCGCAGAAAAACCCCAAAAATCCCTTCTAACCCCCCAAAAACCCCCAAAACCCCCCAAAAGCCCCCCCGCGTTGCCACGGCAACGGCGCCTCCCTTGGCCACGCCCCTTTCCTGCTGACCACGCCCCCTTTCCCCTCTAGCCCACTTCCCCGCTGACCACGCCCCTTTCTCATTAACCACGCCTCTTTCTCGCCCAAACCCCGCCCCTTTCCTGCTGACCACGCCCCCCTTTCCCTCCAGCCCCGCCCTTTCCTGCTGACCACGCCCCTTTCTCGCCCAAACCCCGCCCCTTTCCCTCCAGCCCCGCCCCTTTCCCGCCCCCGGCTCCCTTTGTGGCAGGAAGCCGCTGCCGCCCGTGGCTCCCTTTGTGGCAGCCGCCATGGCGGCCGAGCGGGCTCCGCCGGCCCGGGCCCAACCTCCGCCCCCCGGCCCCGCTGCCGGCCCCGCTCCCGCTCCCGCTGCGGGCCCGGAGCCCGCGGCACGAACCGGCCTGAGCCTGCCGGGCATCCTGCACTTCATCCAGCACGAGTGGGCGCGGTTCGAGGCGGAGAAAGGGCGCTGGGAAGCGGAGAGGGCCGAGCTGCAGGTAACGATGGCGGCGGCGCCCCGCATGAGGGGAGGGACGGGGAGGGGACGGCGGGGACAGCGAGGGGACAGCGGGGACAGCGGGGACAGCGAGGACAGCGAGGGGACAGCGGGGACAGCGGGGACATCAGGGGACAGCGGCGACACCGGGGGGGAGCGGGGCGGGGTGGCCGCGGCCGGCGCCATCTTGGGAGGAAATGGCGGGGGGGGCGGCGGAGAGGGGAGGGGACAGCGGGAGGGGGCGGGAGCGGGACTGGGAGAACTGGGGGGGACTGGGA